CAGGCTGGGCAGGGCCATCTGCACACCCCGCAGGAGGTGCATCTTGAACACGAGAGGCTGCATCTCCAGCCATATCAGGGATCTGCCCCCGTACGTCATCAGCGGCAGCATGAAGATGATCTGAGGCGCCAGCAGGGCAGACATCTCGTGTGGCGTCAGGAGGCCGGCCACATACAGTTCCACCAAGAAGAGCACCCAGTCCACGGCGAAATCGACCAGGGCTCTCCTCGAGGTCTTCACCATAAGGACGACGCGCAGGGAGGAGCGGCTCCGAGTGGAGGTGGGAACGGAACTCCGCCAAGGAACGCACGTCGAAAGCGCGAAGACCACTGGGCGGCTCCTCGAGGCCAGGCGCCTCGCGCGAATTTGAAGAGCTTACAATCGGAAACATGAAGCAAGCTTGTAACATTGGAGACTTGAAACTGCAACTGGTGCAGGGAGCAGCACTCTTCGGCCTACAGCCTGGTGGCCCCTATGAGGGGGCCTGCTACTCGGTTGATTCCTTTTCCGTCGTTCAGGTAGACGTAGACGATCGGTGTGCACTTGCTTGGCAATGCTTGCACAACGCGCTCGCACCTCTGTGCTATCACCTGTACCGTCGCTTTGTAGTGTGGAACCATATGTGCCAGGTGGGGCTGTGTGGGTAGGTACATGACGATCGGCACCAGGCCCAGAGGTCCTTCCCGTACTCTCGCTGCCAATGCTCTCCCTGCTGCATGACCTGGCGCGCGTGCTTCTCCGTGAATCTCGCACCCAACAAAATGGCACATCCGGTCGATTTGTCCGAATATTATCGAGTGCCAGCTTCTGCTTCTGCCTCTAGAACCAACCGCTTCCCTATCCTTCTTCAGGGCATTGGGCACTGCGTTGAGACGATTTCTCTCCTCCCGACGACGGGCCGCGGGCGGCCTGGACTCCACCGGAGGGGCCATACCCTCCCCCTCCAGACAGCGCTGTGCTCGAAGTGGGCTGCCTCCGCGAGGGTCGAAGAGCGCTTCGTGGAACAGAAGTGCTGCGCAGCGCGGACTTTCGGAAGGGCGCGAGCGGAAGGCGGGAAGCGCTTCTGCGGGCGTCCGCCTCTTCGATGGCTCGTTTCGTTCCCTGCCGCACCGACTGACGCCATCCAGCAGCAAACGGACGCACTCAAAGGCTCTAGCCTGCTCTGTCGTCGCCCAAGCAAGGGCACCCGTCCCCAAACCTTGCATCACTCGTATGACCAATCACCAGCACATGCAATAGTCATACGTGCAAGCAGTTACGCGAAACACCGCGTGTATGCGCGGCAACTGAGAGCCGCATCCGGATCTCGGTCAAGCAATGCAAGAGGAGCCGCGACATCAAGCTGCACGCAGTACATATGCCCTCCAGTCTGATTGCCCCAGCCTAAGAACAAGGGACTTCAAATGACACACCGAAGCGAAAGCAACAGCACACTGAGTTTGAGCCAGACCATGCCCGTAACAACACCTTCTGGGGTAACGGCATCATGCAGGAGCGCGCGGCAATGATACCTTCCAGCTTGTTTTGCGACTGGACAAGGATCGACATCGGGAGGAACACGCGCACTGTTGGTTTCTGGCACCTCCCCTTGAGGTCCCCGTCTGCGGCAGTAGCTGCGCCGTCCAGAGGACCACCAAGAGGACCACGACAAGCTCCCAGAACGAGGCCGCCGCCATCCGCAGAGTCGACCACGGCGGGATGCAGACAGGCCTCCGCGGCACCGCCTTCGGAGTGGCTCTCCACGGCCGCGACTTCCACACGTGCCCCCTCGGTGTCATGAGCTTCTCCCGGCGTGCCTGCCTCCGAGACGACCGCGCTCCTGCTCGACTGCCTCAGGCTGCTTCCTCGGCTCGGCCACGAGGCTGTCGGCGGCGGCTCGCGCATCAGCACAGCCCCGCAGCGCCTTGCGGGAGCCAGAGCAGGCGCCGAGTGCAGCGGCGCCTCCCACAGCCACAGCAGCACCAGCTGCGGCGGCCCCAGGCGCCATCGCGAAGATTCGCTTCAGCAATAGGGCTGCAGCTCGCTGGCGAGCAAGCAACACGAGCCACAATAGCTGCGGAGGAGGGGAAGCAACATACCGTCCCAGTGGGCGCGACCGCATGGCGTCCCCGAACTCATTTCGGCGCGCCCCTCTGCACGTTTCGTGCCTCCTCTGGGAAGAAGGTCTCAGCGGGCGTAAACGCATGGAGTGTTTAACCCATCTCTGCACATCTCGCACACGTTTCGCCTCAGTGGGCGCGACCGTATGGTTTCCCCGAACTCATTTCGGCACGCCCCTCACACATTTCGTGCCCCCCCCTGTAGGGAGGTCAATATTGGTCTGAACGCGCGCAACAGCATGGCGTCCCGAGCTCACTTCGGCACCCGACTCACACGTTTCGTACTCCTTTAGGCATCTCCACCTACGTCCGTAGCAGGCGCCACAGCATGGAGTCCTCGAGCCGAGTGGGCGCGACCGCATGGCGCCGCCCCGCGCACTTCGGCACACCACTCACACGTT